GTTAGCAGTAACTTCCTCTATCGATGACCCAAAAATATTATCCTGTAATTTTCATATTTTTTGAGCGAAAGCATTCAAATTTTCCAGTTAGTGCACCGTTATCTCGATCTAAGAACTCATTTAGGTGTCTACGCCCAGTAGGGGCGTGGCAAATCGGGAAAAACTGAATTTTCTACAGTATTAAAGCGAAACTTAACTACTAAATTGCTGATGGGATGTGAATGAGTATTTCGCAGTCGGTAACGCCCGACTGCAACGTTCTAAATAGTTTTTCTTAAATTTAGTTTTTAGTTTTTTTTTTTTTTGTATTTTATTTTAATTTGCCGTTTTTAAAGACATCCTGTGCATAATTTAATATTTAACATGCTCGGATATACATACATATATAAATTTTACATACACATACATACATACATATTATACATATATGTATATATTAATATAAGATAAACTGTACCAGGCAACTGTCAAATTGTCGACTCCGTTCAGATCTGCTTTGCTTGCCCTGAGATCCGGCAGCACGTTCAGGGAAATAGGTCCGACTACAGTTGGAATCAGTGGGCAGTACATTATTTATAAATGTGTATGTGTGTGCTTGCTGGACTACGAGATCCCCGGAACCCTTTGAGCAACAGCTATTTAAATCATCTTTCGCGTGTTTCTGCTTCCAGAAGAAACAAACACACACACATACACGCACACACGCAGGCACCCACGCATAAACACGTATGGGCTGCAGTGTGCGCTTACTATGAGAATTTAATTGTTTAATAACTTTTCTTGCGGATTGACTATCCTGATGAAACTTTTAGTTCATGATTATAATAATAACGTGCGTGTATTTGCCAAAGCACAAGTCTCTGGTATTTGATTTTTTATTTTTTTGTGATAAACTCGATATCCGCGCTGTAGATACGGACATTTACAACAAATTTCAAGTCTCCAGCTCTTATATCATCTGAGATCGACGCGTTCAAACATTCGGACAGACGGACAGACAGACAGACAGACAGACAGACGGTGCTAAATTAACTCAGCTCGTCGACCTGATCAATAATATATGTACATATGTATATACTTTGTGGGTTCTGCCACACCTCCTTCTGTCGGTTACATACATTTCAACAAAACTATTATACTCTGATTTCCCATTTTCAATGGGTATACATAAATATAAATCTATACATGTACATATATAAATATATTTATATGTATGCACATATGATATGTACATATGCATAATGCGTAGACATATGTACATATGTATGTGTACATACACATACATGTATACACACAACTTGCAGGCTGTCACAATCGCCCTCTATTTGCAATGAGTAGCGAGTGCCAGATTGAATGCACATACACACACACAGATGTCGCGACGCCTTTATTCTTGAGACTTAAGACGCTGCAGAAAGCAGAAAACAACAACAATAAACATAAGAGCAACTGCAACAAGAAATGCCAAGGGAGACGAAGATTTGAATCCACAAATTCATAAGCGAGCTGCGCACACAATGCGGATTTACAAAATAGGAAGAGGAAGAGACGAGGATAAGTAAAAAGAGTACGAGTAAAAAGTAATAATAAAACGAATTAATGTACTGTAAATATACATGCGTACATATTTATGTACGTATGTATGTATAGGCACAATATAGAAAGGACAAAAACAAAGACAAAAACAGACCCAAATGAAAAAAAAAGAGAAAAGAAAAGAAAAAATGAAGAAGAAATACCCACACATACGCAGACAGACACCCATACATATATGAACATACACATGTATGTATATGTGTACATTGTATTGAAGGAATTGTTTTCTTTTGCCTCCTGTTCTGAGAAACGGGTGCTGCACAATGCTATTCACGATGAGTCTGGCTCCGTGGAGGAGGCGCTGCGATGGGGGTAGGGGGAAAGTTAAACTGGCCAAGCCAAGAGAGATAATAGACATAGAGCCAAATGGCTTAGACAGGGAGTGAGAGAGAGAGAGAGAGAGAGAGAGAGAGGAGCAATGCCCAAGTCACCAAAGCATCTTCCTCAACAGGGGAATGAATATAGAATATGGCAACAATGACAACAATAGGCCAGGTTCGTCGGCTGAGGCTGAGGTAAGATTTCGTTAGCAGTTGTCGAGGGCAAGTCCTACACACGTATATATATATATTA